TGTTGTATCTCGGCCTCAGGGGCTGCATTGAGTGCACGATCATCTGCAGACAGAAGATCATGAACCAATACTCCCTCCACTCTAGTCTTAGCTTGTAGTCTTTTCAAGTTGAATAGTTCACCATCAGTGTAGTAGCCAACCTTGATGCCATTTTCATCCTCATTGAAGGCATCCCACAACATCACAGAAAACATCATGCTAAAAAGCCTGGGAGCAAACACAGAGCCTTGTTTCACGCCCTTGGTGAGTCAGAATGTATGAGAGCATCATCCATTATTCAGAACCTGGGTAAGCGTGCCATCGTGGAACTGATGTACAATGCTGATAAAATGGTGAAAATGATGGGGAAATTCAGAAGCTGCTCAATGAAAAATGAGAACTCCACAGGGTTTACCAGCAGGATGGTTCATCCATCTCTAAGAAGGCAGCGTTACTTCCATCAAAAGTAAAGTACAGGGGCAGCTAAGTGGTGCAGTAGATAGAGCACCGGCCCTGGATTCAGGAGGACCTGAATTCAAATCCAGCCTCAGACACATAAAAACACTAACTGTGTAACCCTGGGCAAGTCACTTAACCCCATTGCCTAGCCAAAAAAAAAAAAAAGTTAAGTACAAGCAGAGACATGCAGGATTCTTGGCTCAGTGAGAAGGCAGATGAAATTCAGTTTGATGCTGATGGTAACAATCCAAAGCACTTTTATGGTGCCCCGAAGGCTGTGTATGGGCCAAAGACCTACGGTGCATCTCAACTCCTCAGTGCTGATGGAGCCACGTTGATTAGTGATAAGGATGTGGTCCTGGAGAGACGGGCTGAACGCTTCCATAGTCTTCTCAATAGACCGTCATCAGTCAGTGCTGAGGCCATTGACCGTTTGCCTCAGGTTGAAGTCAGTCCCTCCCTAGCTGATGTTCCAACTGAAGAAGAGGTTTGAACGCCATTAGGTCCCTCTCCTGTGGCCAGGCACCTTGTGCTGACTCTATTCCAGCTGAGGGGTCCACTGCTCATAGAAAAACTGACTGAAATTTTCTGAGTTACATGGCAAGAGGAGGTTATCCCCCAGGAGTTCAAGGATGTCTCTATTGTCCATCTCTATAAAGGTAAAGGGAGTAGATTGCCCTGTGACAATCACAGGGAGGTCTCTCTCTTGGTCACTGCTGGCAGGATTCTTGCCAGAGTCATCCTTAATAGGCTGATCCTTCGCCTGGAAGATGGTCATCTACCTGAGGGCCAGAGTGGCTTCAGAAGGGGCCAAGGAATGGTTGATACGATGTTTGCTGCCCGACAACGCCAGGAGAAATGCCAGGAGCAGAATAGAAGTCTGTACATGTTTGTAGATCTGACCAAGGTCTTTGGTACTGCCAGTCACGAGGGCTTATGGAAAATTATGTCAAAATGTGGGTGCCTGAGGTTCATCAGTATCGTACAGCTGGAAAGATACCTGCCTGTGATTGAAGAGCTTTGTAGAGGGTGGAATCAAAATGTGGCTGCTGAAAACAGACCCCCAAATTTTTAATAAAAAGGTCATTTGACCTTTAGCTGCCTGACGAGAAAGCCATCTCCTCTCCAGAACCCAGGCCGTCGTAGGGGTCGTCCCCAGCCTATGGCCTGGCCGGAGCACACCTGGGATGTTGTGCTGAGTTGGAGGCACATGCCTTTTGAGAGGAACACTGATAAGGCCAACTTGAAGAAAAGAACCTTTTGTGAGGAACAGATCCTTTCTGAAGGGCCATCCTAGATTCCTGGCCAGGCCAGAGATGGCGCTCTGGAGTGGTGACAGAGAGGCCAGATTCAACTCAGCCAAACAAGGTTTAACTTCCTGATAATCTGCAATCCAGATAAAACAGGCAGCTAGGGTGGTCATGAGCTCCACCCCCAGGGGTGTGTGAGCAGAGGCCGGGTGCCAGAGAGGGGGCCATTTGTGTCCTCGGAGCGCCTCACGGCACCCGGCATGGAGTTGAATTGGGTGGGAAGTTGGTCCCTTCTCATTCTGTGACACTTCTTAAGAAGGTCATCTCTGCCTTGTCTGTGCCAGTGATGTCCTGCAGACCTCCTTCCCTGTGCCCTCTGTGGTACCTTCCCTTATTACTGAGCAAAACCATCAGAGCCATGTAGGTGTGCACCCGCCCCTGTGCCAAAAGAAGGGGGAGGTTTCATGGGTTCTCTGAAACCATTGGTCTTCATCTCTAATCAGAGTTCAGTTGCCAGTTGATGTCATTTCACGATTGGCATTCTTAAAGACATTGTAACTGGAATATGGGGAAAGAGGAGGGTGCTGGCCACAGCATGGCCTGCCGTGGCAGCGCTGAGGACAGCAGAGCGTCCTGGATCCGGCCTGTCCTCTCGAACTCTTCGTTGGGGGTCTCCAAACAGGTCGTGGGAGCTCCAGGTAGGTGGGCAGGGGTAGGGACAGGAGAAGGACCTCCACTGGATGAAACCGTATCTGCTTGGGAGGAGGAGAAAACCCTGATGGCAGAAGGGAGCCTGGGATGATAGGAAGAGCGCTGCAGGTTTGAATTCTGCCACTCATCCTCGTGGGATGTTGGGCCCACCTCACTGCCTATGATCATCTTGGCAGTGCGCATTTCAGTGGTGCTTTACCACGTGATCGAGGCCCACCACAACCCTTCAGGGCAGATATTAGCCCCTCGTCACAGAGGCGTCAAGCTGCTGCTCTGTGGTCTCACGACTGGCCAGTGGCAGAGCCCAGATTCCCGCTCAGGCCTTCTAAACTCTGAGGTCTTACTGCCCTCTAAGGGAATAAAGGAACATGTGAATGTCAGAGACCCTCCCCCAGTTATCTTGACCTCATCTTTCGATCTCTGGGGCCCAGCCATGTCAGTTTCCTTTGGGGGCTCTCTCTTGATTCACCTAATTACCCTATGGGGTATATCTAGTGCCTATATCATTATCTGCACTGTACAGATGAAGAAACTGAGGCACAGGAAATAGCCGTGGCATCCAGTGTTCTCTGGCCAGTAAGCTGTAGAGGCAGGCTAGTGCTCGGGTCTTCGGGGCTCTGTCCACTACACACGCCTCAGGAGTGATATGCCCACGGCCCAGCATTTGGGTGGTGGGGCTCGTTGGAGTCTGAGTGTGGTGGGCCTTGAAGGAAGGAAAGAACACACGGGCTGGTGGTGACAGAAGAACACAAGACACCCCAGTGACGTTTTCCGAAAGTCCTTTTCGGTAGTCTTGGGGCTCTGTTGCATTGCAGACCTTGTGTCTGTCCTCATTCGTCCACTCCTTCTGTAACTGACCCTGCTGGTGAGGCCCAAGGACAGGGGAGGGGATGGTGCTAGACCAGTTGTCTCTGGTGGATAGTCCTTGGGCCTCATACCAAGGGCATGTGTCTCCTCTACGGCATATCCCCCAAAGGTTGTCCTGCAGACTCTGCTTGAATACTTCAGGTGATGGAGAAGTCACTCCCTGTTCTACTGTTGGACAGCCCTGGAGGCTGGGAAATCCTCCTTTTGTTAAACTGAAGTCTGCCTCCCTGGATCTCCTCCCCACCAGCCCCTGTGTCTGCTGCTGATGGTGAAAAGTGTTTTTCCGCATGGTTCTCGTCAGCTCCTAGAAGAATTACTGCTTAGTATGAGACGTGTGAGGTTGCCTGGGAGTCCTGCGTGGGAACGTCTGGACTCAGCAGATTGGACGACTGCTCCGGATGTTATTGCCTCTCCGCCTTTCTTGGATACCTGTGGTTTCCCTCCAGGATAACGTAGGCTTCTCGAAGGCAGGGACGGTGTGATCTTTGTCCTTGGATCCCCAAGACTGCTGTGGTGTCCAGCACATGTACAAATCATTGACAATCAGAGAACGTTTATTAAGCACCTACTGCGTGCAGGCTTGTGTTTGGCCCAGAGGAGATAAAGTTCTTTTATCTGTGCTTTGTCTTAAGGGAAGGGTCACGCCACAAGCAGAGAAAAGGTCATTTCCAATGCCTGGGGAGTGAGTAATGCCAAAGTGGCCTTTGAGTTCGGCCTTTGATGATGGGAAGGAAATCTTCAGTTGAGGAGGAGGGAGGACGGCCATCCCAGACGTGGGAAAAGTGGCAGGCGCACGCACACAAGAGTGGGGAGACCAAGTCATCGTCCAGTTCTGCCAGGACATACGCGTGCGTGGAGGGGAGCCTGAGGATTCGGAAGGGCTGAAGTGAAGCAGGGCCTGGCGTGCCAGTGGGGCCGCCTCCTCATGATTGTTTCCTTAACCCCAGAGCCCCAGATCCCAGCGGCAGCCCTGGGGGCCAGTGGGGTGGAGGAGGAAGCCACAGCCCAGCAAGGAGAGGGAACCGAGGAGAGGATGAAGTGCTGTGTCCGAGCTGGGCTTGGGGCGGGGCAGTGGTCAGGCTGTACCTGCCCAGCTCTGATTGGACCCTCTTTAAGGCCGAGGCTACTGAGCGTGACTTAGGATAATGTAATTTTCTCCTCTGTAGAAACCTGCACCCTTGGGTTGTGGGTTGCTCCCATCCCTTGTGGAGACTTGCTTAAAGCCAGGAGGGCCTTTAGCCCTGGGGGCCAGGAAGGGGAAGGGGCTTGCCAGCCCGTGGTGGGTCCTACCAGTCCCAGAGTGAAGGCTTCGTCAGGATTTGTGGGATTGGTGTTCCGTGTCTCCAGACGTGTCCAGTACTGACCACGCAGGGTCAGGCAGAGTTTGTGGGCGCTCAGGCCATCTTGAAGGGTGCAGATGCTAACTGGGCTGTGTTCCTGTGGGCGGGGGTGTTTAGAGCTTGGGTTCCTCCTGCCAAGAAGTTCGTTGGCCGGTCAGGGTTCCCAGCAGGTGTGGGGGGGGGGCCCTCTGCCCGGTTGCTGTCTCTGGGCCTCAGTTTCCACATCTGCAAAGTGAGGCTAATGCTTTTTGCACTAGTTACCCCCTGGATGGTGGTGAAGAGAGGGCTTGCAGAAGAGAAAAGGGCTGGTGACTGGGAGCAAGAGAGGAGCCCCGCCACGCCTGGGGTTCCTCCGTGGGGTCTCCACATTTCTTTCCTTGAACTCTGCACACAGGAATCATTTAAGCCCACAGAAGAGCACGTGTTGGTGGTGAGGCTGCTTCTGAAGCACCTGCACGCCTTCTCCAACAGCCTGAAGCCCGAGCAGGTGTCCCCCTCCACCCACTCACACACGGCCAGCCCCCTGGAGGAGTTCAAACGGTGAGTGGGGAGACCTGCTTCCCTGAGGCCAGGCCAGCCCAGCCCAGCTCCAGCTCCTCTCCTGTCCCCATCCTGGGCGGCCCTCATTCCATCTGGGAGTAAACTTCCCCCCACACCCCGGGGGCCTCCTCCTGGTGGAGAGCTTAGGATTCTCTGCATGGGCCCATGTGTTCAGACAGACGGGGCGTGGGCTGTGTGTTCCTGGCACTGGCCCCCCGCCGTGCCCCTGTCCTCTCCCCAGCCCCGGCACCCAGCCCGTCACCCCTCTGGGCAGCGTCTGTGACGCTGGCTCTCCGTGGCTCTGCCCGTTTGCTGCTGCCCTGAGACCCTGGGGGCAGGCGGAGCTCTTGGCCGTCCTTGGGGTTGCTCACCTTTCTCTAGTGCCAAATACAGGCTGCAGACAGGGCCCATGCCTTAGGGAGCTACCGGGGGGGGGGGGGGGGGGATAAGATAGCAGTAAATAGCCAGGCAGCGTTAATAGGTGACAGCTGGGTGGCCTGGAGTCAGGAAGACCCTGGGCAAGTCACTTCACCTCTACCTGCCTCCATTTCCTCATCTGTAAAAGGGACGATAGCTGTGAGGAGAGAATGGGTTAATAATATCTGTCGAGCTCTGCTGGTATTGTTCCAGAGGGCACACCAAAGGCTTTGCTCACAGAAACCCACGAGACTTGTAGTAGAAAAGCCCTCCTTGTTTTGTAGAAGGGTCAGCTGAGGTTCAGTGGGGTGAGTGGTCACCCCCCGTGCCCGTGGTCTGCGCTGCCCCCACAGGCAGCCGCCCTCGAAGGCTTCCTGGCCCGGGGTGGGGGGAAATCCCTGTGCCATCACCACAACAGCAGGAAGGGACCGAGGGCCATCCCCAGAGTGATTGAATTATGCCTAATGGCCTGTGGGCCTGTGCACTTCACTGGCAAACCTCTGAGAGCCTTCTCCTGCCCACCCACTCCTCAGCCCTCTTCCCAAATAAGAGATTCTGCCTGCTCCTGTGCTCTGTGGCCCTAGGGGACTGGCACTCCGGGTTGTCTTGTGCCCTGGCCTGAGCTGTCCTCTGCCCCCCACGCACCCTGCCCAGCGCACCGTCCCTGTTCGGCAGAACCCACCAGGACGGCGACAGTGCCGGACGCTGTCTGCAACACTGGAGACAAGCCCACCGGTCCCCGCTGGCAGAGCTGGCATCACCCACATGGTCACGGCCTCCCACTGAGCTTGTAGAGATGGAGAGAACTTCCTTGTACCCTCGCTCTGGAGTTTCAGAGAGGTCACCGGAGGAGAGGGAACAAGCATTTCTATAGCGCCTGCTGTGTGCCAGGCACAGTGCTAAGCACTTGACAAATAGGATCTCCTTTGATCCTCTCAACAGCCCTGGGAGGGACTGTTGTTATCCCCATTTTATAGGTGAGATTTAGTGACGTGCCCAGGATCACACAGCTGGGAGTGTCTGAGGCAGGATTTGAACTCGGGTCTTCCTGACTCCAGGCCTGGCGCTGGACCCATGTAGGGCAGAATTTCTTAAGGAGCTGCACACTGGCGTGAGCCCCTGCCTGTTGCCGCCCCGAGAACCGGCAGCACGTCGCGCTCTGATGTCCCGGCCTCTGCCGGGTCCCCTTCTCGTGTGAGGGGCCGGGGCTCGAGGTCCGGTGTGGCCTCCCCCTGCGGCCCCCCGGGGAACGTGCCCACGTGTTATGTCAGAGCAGCGGTAGTAACCATAGGAGCTGCCCTCGGGTGGCTCTTGTGCAAGTACGACCTCAGTTGAGCCTCCCCCACCCTCCAGGTAGGTGCTATTATCGCCCCCATTTTACAGGTGAGGAAACTGAGGCAGACAGGGCCAACTAGCTGGGACACGCCTGAGCCTCAGAGCCCCGTGGCAGTGGGGGACTCATGCTCGCTAGAGGCCGGCCCCCCCCGATGCCGTGTTGACTTTGTTGTGCATTCTGCTGCAGAGTGGTCATCCCTCGCTTTGTCCAGCAGAAGCTCTACATCTTCCTTCAGCACTGCTTTGGCCACTGGCCCCTGGATGCTTCTTTCCGAGCGGTACGTGTGGGCCGCGCTTGGTGCCTTCCCCGGGAGCCAATCTAGAGCGCAGGCCCCGTGCCCGGACGCCCCGGGTCCCTGCCATTCATCTCCCTGTTGGCCCGGCTACCCCCAGGTTTGGTTCTGAGCACCCGAGAGCAGCGTCCGAGCTGGGGTGGGGATGGGGATCAGAAGGACAAGCGGAGCCTGTCACGCTTCAGGAAGAAGAGAGTGGGTGGAGATGGAGGCTGGTGAGAGCCGTTGGCAGCCTTCCTCATCGAGCCAGGCGGGGTTAGACGAATGAGGAGGCAGGCTTCCGCTGGACAGATGGTAGCGGGCTCCCCCAGAAGGGGGCTGGCTGATTCTTCTGCCACGGGCCTTCGTAAAGCAGCTGCTGGGTGCTGGGCTCGATGGTGCCCAGACAGAAAGGGAGAGCCCCAAACAGAGGCTCGACCCCCGGTTGAGGGGGCTCCGTATTCAGTTATCATCGGGGCAGATGCCTCTGAGGGGCCCTGGAAAGGAGGTGTCAGAGCTGGGAGGGCCTCGGAACAGAGGAGGTCAGAGTTACAAAGCAGCAGCTCGCGTAACACATGTATCTTCTCTGCCAGGTCCTGGAGATGTGGTTGAGTTACTTACAACCATGGAGATACGCTCCGGAGAAACAATTTCTGACCGCAGACCCTCAGCCTCGAAGTATCCCTGAGAAGTGGTGAGTGTCCCTGTGCGTTGGCTTGGGCAGGCCTCCTGAGATTCCTCCACCTCCTTGGGATGAGGTTTCTCTTCTCATCCCCGGCTCCCTCCCTCTCCCCTTTCTGGGCCCACCCTCACCTCTCACAGGCGCCCTGAGAACAGAGGGGGACGTTCTTCTCCCCATGGATTAGCTGGGCTCCTCCCACCATGTCTTACTCAGTCCCTCTTCTCCTGGTAACCTCCCTTTCCCCACTTGTGGGCTCCACGAGGACTGGGAGGGTGGTTCTGATCCTTCCCACTGCCCCGTGAATGCAGTTCAGTGAAGGGACCGAGAGGCCCCAAAGGGCCACCGCCTCCCTCCCCAGAGCAGTGTCCCTACAAGACGAGGGAAGGCCTATGGCCTCCTATGGGAGAGACGGCAGGTCAGGGTAGAGGAAGGAGCATCAACGGGCCCGGCCGTGCGGGCTGTCCAGACGGGGGCTGCCGGAGGGAGGTCATCCCCCTCACTGAAGCGGGCGGGGACGCGTGGCCCTCGCCAGCCTGGGCTGACCCAGCTGCTGCTGCTGTTGTCTCAGGGCTCCCTTTGTGCAGGAAAACCTGCTGATGTACACCAAGCTCTTCATCGGCTTTCTCAACCGCGCCCTCCGCACGGATCTGGTGAGCCCAAAGAACGCGCTCATGGTGTTCCGCGTGGCCAAGGTCTTCGCCCAGCCCAACCTGGCCGAGATGATTCAGAAGGGTGAGTGGCTGCCTCCCCCACCTCGGCCCCTCCCCACGCGCTTGTCTAGGGCGTCCGAGGGGGGAGTTACTCTTCCCGTTTCACAGGTGAGCAGATGGAGGCTGAGACTGTGGCACTGGCCCATGGTGGCTTTGCTGAGACTTGCAGCCAGGTGTCTGTCTCCTTCCCGTCCGAGGTTCTCGCGGTCTCTTGCCCCGCCTGAGTCACTCTCTGCGGGGCCTGCATCCTGTTCTTCTCCCGCTTCTGGTCCCCCACGCGCCTCAGGGAAAGGGCCCGAGGCACGGGGTGTGGGAGCCGGGGGGCCATGGGGACGGCGATAGGAGCTGCTGACGTTGGCTGACCCGGGGCTCGCTCAGGCCTACCTTGCCGGGCCCGTCTTGTGCCATCCAGGTGGTGCCCGTCTTCTGGCCTGTCTGCCAGGCCTGCCCTCCTTGCCTCCCTCTGGCTTCTCTCAAGGCCAGGTGGAGGCGCCACCTCCTCCAGGAAGCCTCCCCTGAGCCAGAGTGGTCAGTGTTTTCTCTCCCAGCATTCCGCCCCCCGCCCACCCCGTGATCACCTGTGACTTACCTGTTTGCCTGTTGTCATGCGCACATGCACATGCACACAAGCTTTAGAATGTAAGCTCCTTGAGGACAGGCACTGTTGTGTTCTGTCTCAGGACCCCTCATAGCGCCATCAGTGTCCCCATTTTACAAGCTGGGAGCTGAGCTGGAGAAGAAAAGGGATGTGTCCTGAGAGGTCAGATTCGGACCCAGGCCTTCTCCTTCCCAGACCAGGGCTGTGTCCGTGACGCTGCGTGTCGCCGCCTCCGTTTCCTTTTCTGCCAAACGCTTTACTGTCTATGCCCAGGGGTGTTGTGGAGACCCCAGCACCCGACGTAAACGGGAACTCTCCCTCTTTGCCCTCGACGGGAGCATCCAGCCCTGTGGGCGTCATCACGGCGGCCTCCTGGCCCTCCTGCTTGGCTTTACTTGGTTACTCCACTTTAAGAAAGGTCTTGCAGCAGTCACTGCCTCACGTGCCCTCCCTGTGCCCGCTCCGGCCTCCTGATCTCCCCGCCAGCCCAGCCTGGCCCGACGAGTGGCCTTCTCACTGCTCCTCATCTGCAGCCCTCCCATCTCCCATCTCCCTGTCTTTGCACTGACTGTGCCCCGTGCCTGGAGGGCCCTCCCTCTTCACTCCCTGCTTGCTCCAGGGCTCAGGTCAAGCTTCTGCAGGAATCCTTTTGTGACCCGTGCGTCCCTGCCCTCCCAACTCTGCGCGCTCTTCCTCCCCCATTAGAATGTAAGCTTCTTGAGGGCAGGGGTTTTAGTTTGTCGTGTCCCCTTTGCCCAGCGCAGAGCTGGACAGAGAAGGCTTGCTGCCGGGCCGACCTCTTCAGGAGGGTGCTGAGCAGACTCTGGTCCTGGCTGTGAGGGAGGTGACGGAGGGCCCTTCTGCGGGGCGGTGGAGCGGCGGGCCGGCTCTGAGGCCTCCTCCTCCCTTCCCCCCATAGGAGAGCAGCTGTTCCTGGAGCCGGAGCTGGTCATCCCGCACCGCCAGCATCGTGTCTTCATGACGCCGACCTTCCCGGGGAACCTCCTGTCCTCCTGGCCCCCCGCCGTCACAGACGCCTCCTTCAAGGTGAAGAGCCACGTGTACAGCTTGGAGGGCCAGGACGGCCAGTACAAGCAGATGTTTGGCCCCGAAGTCCGGACCTTGGTGAGTCTGGCCCCGAAGGTGGTGGCCTAGAGGCCGTTCCCTCTGTATGGCAGTTTGACTCAGAGCCTGAATTACTTGCACTCGCTCCCGATGGCTGTGTTGTTGCCAGAGGTGGCGGGAGCTCCGTCGTTCTGTCCGTCCTTGAAGGTTTCCTTTCAGAGCCTGGCCCTGGACGTGGACAGGCCAGGCCGAGGTTCCACACACGTGTGGCCTTTTCTGCTTTGCCTTCTGCCCAGTGTTCAGGAGAGCTGGCACGAAGTAGGGAATGTCTTGGGAACATAAACCTTCATTTCCAAGGTGAACTTTGAAGATGGGCCCAGTGTCGAATACGAGCTTGCTGGCCCTTCGGAGTCCAGGGACGGGAGGGGTGATTTACTGTGATGCCTGGGCGTCCCATGAGCACGGCCTGGCCCTCGCCCCCCCCCCCCCCCCCCCCCCCCCCGCTCCTCCCCCAGACAGCTCCTCCCTGGTCATTCTCCGCGGTCCCGGCTTCAGCTGCCAGTGTCCCGAAGCCCCGGCCCTCTCCTTCCTTCTCCCTAAGCCTCCTCAGTCTCTGTGCGCAGGGCCCCGAAGACCCCGTGACCAGCCAGCCGCGGGCCCTGCGCTCTCCTCTCGCCTTTTTTCTCTAGTCTTCCTCCCTGCTCTTTTCTTTGCAGTAGAATGTGAATTCCTGAGGACAAGCACTGTTCTTCTTGCAGCGCCAGCACCCGGCATGGGGCCGGCACATAATGGGCGCCTTATCCATGCTCGTGGAATTGAATTGACTGAGCCAAAGCAGCCTGAGTTCTGAGGGATTTCTTGTAGTGATAAGAAAGGCTCGGTTCATCTGCTTGTCAGAATAAGAGCAGACAGAAGGACAGAAGCCAGTCTGGGGGAAGGGAAGGTGGAGACAGACTGGGGGACAGAGGAGGCAGAAAGAGAAGAAACATAAGCTAGGATGGGGCCGGGTACTGAGAGGGAGACCAGACAGGCCAGAAAGAAGACTGCCCCCTGCTGGGTGCTTGGCCTCTGCTATCTGGGCTGGGCTGGGATACAAGACGTGATGCTGTCAGTAGGTCATGTTCTCCAAGAATTTACAGCTGATGGGGAGAAGGAAAGCTTGTGGGTAATTAGGTGGGACCTCAGGGTCATCCTGCCCAGCTGACCCCTGGTGTCCTTCCCCATCCACACCTACCCCGAGCCAGGCAGCTGCTGCCCAGAGAGTGCCTCCTTTGTGGGTTCATTCCTCACTCGGGCTCCACATGGAGCTTCACCATGGCCAATAGGAGTGACCAAGCATTGATGCCGAGAAAGACAGGACAGACTGAAATAGAAATGCTGCCGTTTAAGGGTGGGGTACTCTTGGCTGCCCGGGGTAGAGGAGTCTCCCCCCAAGGAAGGGGGCATCCACCGGGCCTCCAAGCAGAAGGCTGCTCTGGATATTTCTGAATGGACGCCTCCCTCGGCTGGGGAGACCTGCCTGGTTTGGCATGAAGTGGCCAGCTAGCTTCAGGGGCCTTCCAACACAGGCCCACCACAAGGGCCCAGAGAGTTCACAGGATTTCGTACACTGATTGCCCGCCTGGGCACCTGGGCAGATGGGGAGGCTACAGGCCCCTCCCTGAAGGAGTTCACAGTTCATGAGGGAAGGAGGCCTGTCCATGGACCAGTGTGTGATGGTTATTAGTGTGGACTAAGCCCCGGGGAATCAGGGAAGGCTTCAGGAAGGAGGTGGCTTGTTGGGTTGTGCTGTTTATCCCTGTCTGGATTTTAGGTGCTGAGGTTGGCCCAGATGATTGCCCAGGCCAAACAGACAGCAAATTCACTCTCGGATTACTCGAGTGAGACCTCGGCCAACCGGTCCTTTCTCTCCTGGCTGGGATTTTGCCCCATTGATATGAATGGCACCTACTGCACTAATGATCTGGATGAGCTGGGCCAGGACAGCATCAAGAAGACAGACGAGTACCTGGAGAAGGCCCTGGAGTACTTGTGCCAGATATTCCGAGTATGTTCAGCCCACCAGGGCAGGGCAAGGGTCCTCGAGCAGTCCTAGAATGGATGGGCAGGTGTGCCCGGCTGGGCAGGCCTGCTTCCAAGAGCACCCGCTCCTCCTCTCAGGGCCCTCTCCCCTTGGGCAGTCAGGAATGACCGGGGATGAAGGAAGGCAGGAAGGAGGGAAAGGAGGAGGGCCTGGGGGCCCTGCCCAGGATGGGCAGGCGGCAGAGGGTGGCGGGGCACCACAGCTCTCCCTAACTGAACCGCCCTCCCCTGTGTGTGCCAACAGCTCAACGAAGCCCAGCTGGCTCAGCTCATGATGACCGTGGGCACGGCGCCAGCTGAGAATGGGAAGAGACAACTTCCTGACTCCATCGTGAGCGATGAGGGGCTGGTTCTCACCCCACTCGGCAGATACCAGGTCAGGACGGGCCAGCTGCTGGTCACTCGTAACCATGAAAGCTGGTGTTAATTTTACGTCCCTCACCTCAACGTCATCAGACCCTGAAGGACAAAGCAGTACGGATGCTATTCTTATACCCATTTTACAGATAAGGATGCTGAGGTTGAGTGGGGGCTGAATTCAGTAGGCTGGAGCCCGCATCAGGGCGTCTCTGAATAGACGTGGAGGTGGCCCGGTTCAGGACCCCACCCCACGATCCTAGTGCTGGTCATCCAGGCTCTGGTGGAGTACCTCTTCCCCTCAGATACATGGTGCTGTCACTGGTGGAGCCAGAAGACAGACCCCGTTGACCTGTGAGGTCACTTTGATGTGCATTGGGTCAGCGGCTGCAGCCTGGCCTTGTGTGTGCAGCGGCTCACCAGCTTCCCGGGGTCTGGGCCACCCCTCGTGGGGTAGCCGGGTTGCCCTGGGACCAGTCTGGAGAAGGAAACAGATTCCTGTTCTTGTCAGGCTCAAAATGGGCAGTGCAGTGGGTGGGGAGCCACAGTTCCTGGCTTCCAGCTAGACCCTGATGTCCCTGGACCTTTTGGAACCTCAGTTTCCTCCTTTGTAAAAGGTCCCTTCCTGCTTTAACCTGTACCTTTGGTGGCCCGGCCACTGAGGCAGCAGTCCGTGCCTGAGGGGAGAGCTCACGTCCATCAGGAGACCTAGACCTGCCGTGGGATAGTTGTGGGATGTTACGCAAGTCACTTGACCTCCCTGCCTCAGTTTCATCATCTCTAAAATGGGGCCATGTAATGCCTGGGTCTGAGCCCTTTTGTAAAGGACAGGTGTGTCATTGGGTCCCTTCCCAGCTCTCAGGAGCAGAGCACGGCTGTTCCCGGCCAGGCCGGCCTCAGGATGAGAGGCGGACGTGCCAATGCCCAGGGCTTTCCTCCTTGCTTGTAGATCATCAACGGCCTGCGGAAGTTTGACATCGCGTACCAGGGAGACGTGGAACTGCAGCCCATCCGCAGCTACGAGATAGCCCCTCTGGTGCGGCTGTTCTTCCAGGCGTCGTCCGCCATCAACCGCCGGGTGAGTGGGGGCAGAGGCGGGGGGAGGGGCGGGCATCTCTCTGCCCGCTCTGCTGGGCTCCTTGGGTCCTGGCTCGCTCTCTCTCCCTTCGCTTCGTTTCTGCTGTGGTCCACTAGTCCAGTGGTCACTGGCCTCCCCGGCTCTGGGCCTCTCCACCCCTCCGTCACTTCCTCCTGGTGGAGACTCAGGTCCAGAATTGTGGTCCTTTGCATCGGTCCCTGCACCTTTTGCAGGGAGAAATGACCCCTAAGACAAGCCGGAAGTTGTTCAGTGGCCCTCCCTTGGGGAGGGGCTGTCGGTCCCCCTCCCTATTGTCAGACGATTACTTTCCCCGCCAGGCTGGGCCTGTCTTTAGATTCTGTCTAGCTGCTCCGTGGCAGCGGCGGTGACGCATCCCCTCTGTCGGCCCCTGGGCTGGCTCCTGCCGGTGTCTCGGTGGGCCCGACTCCGTCCTGTGGTCCCCGTCCCGTGCGCGGGTGGCGAGGGGCCTCATCAGCGGATGGCTCGGTGCTCATCTTCGTGGCTGCCTGAACTCGGAGCCTTTAGCCAGACGTCAGAGGCTCCGCTTGTGTCTTGTTCTTGCGTGGCTCCTCCGGAGCGGACTGTGTGTCCCTTCCCGCCCGGGCCGCGTCTGCCGGCTCTGCCGCCTGAGGGACGCTTGTGTCTGCCTGGGCTGGCCTCCCCCTGCTGGCCCCGGAGCCGCTCGCTCTCCCCCAGCTTGCGCACGCTTTGGGGGCCCGAGCTTTGCTGCCGGCTCCTTTCTTGGCCGTGACTGGTGAACTTCTGGGTTTCTCCTGCCGCTCGTAGGAGCGCGACCGTAGGGCTGTGAGCTGAGATGAAGGCCAGAGAAGCACGAGGCGGGGTGGCGCATTTGTCCATGGTTGCCCCGTAGGCGTGGTCTAGAGACGTGGGTTCTAATCCCACTTCTGACCTGGGATAACTCCTCGAGCGACCTCGGTTTCTTGACCTGTAAAATGGCCAATAGAAATGGTCACTGTAGGTACTGTAGAAACGGGAAGGAGGTGCTCCCAGTGAAATGAAGGGTGGGGTAGGGAGGTGGGGGGTTTGGTGACTTTGAAGGCCCCTTCCATCATTCCCACGCTGTGGCCTCGCAAGTCACCCAGCAGGGATCCGGGCTGAGCAGACCGAGGCTCCCCTCTGGGGTTTTGTGACGTGGCCAGAGCCCCCAGGGCACACGCTCGACAAGCTAGCATCAGGGCCTGGCAGCTGAAACAGGCTCGCAGACCCCTCACCCACCCGTGCTGCCTCCTCCTCTTCACGTCCTCAGTGCCCAGCGTGCCACACGCCCAAGCCCAGGCCCGCCCCCTCCTTTGCCCGGCCTCATAACGAGGAGCCCTGATGGGTATCCGTTCGATGGCGTCCGCCCTCCTGCTGGCGAGAGTGCAGGGTGTCGTGGGTGGGTCGGTGCTCCCGGGCCCCGGAGCGTCGGCCGCCTCTGGTAGTTCACTGGAGTCGTTGGGTTAGAGGGGGCCGCTTCCCCGGGAACAGCCAGGATTTGCCTGCTCAGACGGAGGCTCCTCCGCGGTCCTCAGGGCTCAGAGGGCAGCCTGTACACGGATAGGGAGACACCACCCCCGGGGCTGGGCCTGGCAGGCAGGGAGCTGCGGCGCTCTGGAAGCAGAAAGATTCTGTCCTCTCCATTCTGGAGCCCGGAGCCCTTTACAGAAGGCGGTTCAGGCGGGGCCTGCCCGGCCGCGCTGTCTCCCTCAGTCAGCCCCCAGGACCTGGCCAAGGTCACGCGCACCTTGTTGGTGGCAGAGTCCAGCTCCTGTGCTCGTCCCCCTCCCCTGCCTTCCGTGACCTCCCTTTGCTCTGGTTCAGTTCGCAGGCCACATGGAGGCCCTCTGCTCGCGGGAAGACTTCCTCGGGGCCTTCTGTCGCTTCCACCTGACTGAGTCGTTCCAGGCCGAGAAGAGCAGGCTGAGCCCCGTGGCGCCGCACCGGGCCGGCCGCACGCGTGGCCCCCGGCTCAGCCTGCGTTTCCTGGCCAGCTACCGCACGCTCTTCACCTTGCTGATGGCGTTCCTGGTGGCGGCCGTGTTCGGCATCGGGCCCGTGCTCTGCACGCTCCTCATCTCTGTCCTGTACCTTCTGTATGCCGTCGTGATGACGGCGGTCACCCAGAAGCTGAAACCTCACCAGCACTGACGCGGCGGCGGCAGGCTCGTTGCCTTCCCCTCCCGAGGGCACTGCGGCTCTCAGGCACCACACATCTTGTGTTTGTTTGATAATACAGCCGTGCACATCTGCAGAGCTGTGCTGTGTAGGGCGGCTGGAAGGAGGGGTGCACGGCACGTCGGGCTCGTGTGGACCGACGGGCCCTCTGGCAGGGGGCTGACCGCGGGAGCCCACTCGTGCAGGGTGGGTTTGGGGCCTTTTGCTGTAATGGGCAGGACGGGCCTCGGGGCCGGGGAGCCATCTTGGCCTGCATTTTACTGGGCAGGGTCGTGGTGGGACTTGCTGGGGGAGGGGAGACCGGGACCACGCGGGCCTTCGTCCGGGTGAGGTGACCGCAGCCAGGCAGGGGCCGGCGATCGCCGCTCTGAGCATCCTCCCCTTCTGCTCTGCTTCTCCCCAGACAGCTGTAACAGCCTCCCAGCAGGGATTTTGAACGTGCCAAGAGCGATGGGGACAGGTACAGAGATGACCCTGGCTCTCTGTCCTCTCAGCATTTATAGGGTTCACCTTCGGGTGCTTCTGATTATTCAGCAAGACCACAATTAGGTCTCCGTGTATATTCCAATCCTCTTTGTTTGGGATTCCTGGGGATGGAGGGCGGAGAGGAGGGTTGAGCAGCTGAGGTTGGGGAAGAGACGTTTCCAGCTTGAGATGCCGGCCATCCTGACTCTGGGCGTGTCAGACCCTTCCTCAGCCTCCTTACTCCTCAGCCCTGCCCAGGGGGGGCCTCCCGGTGCGGGGCTGAGCCTGTGTCATCACAGTGAGTGCCTGCCTCATGGATTTCCCCATCCCAGACCTGAAAAAAAGAGTTTCTAAAAACTCATCAAAGGGAAATCCCAAGCCTGCCATTGCTTCTCCTCAGAGCTCAGTGTGACTGAAACGAGGTGATGCCTTCTCTCCCCTTCCCCTCTCCTGCCTTCTCCCTCGCCTGCAGGAGATCAATGACCCCTTATTTTATTTTGTGGACATGAAACCCACATTGTTGGGGAAGGTGGACAATCATACTTGCACAAGGGAAGGAGGCCAACACGTGGCCGCCTCCCCAGCCTTGGAGCCTCTGTGATGTTCAAGGGGCACAAAACTTTTTACGTCTGTGAATGTCATTCCTTGGGAATGCCAGGGCTTTTAGGTGTGTCAGTGTTACGGGGGCTTTGACCCCGGAGTAATTGGTGTGCCTGACATCCAGCCTTTCTGGGGCATTGTGGGTGTCCCTCGAGGCCTTCTGGCTGTGAATTTTGCCAAGTGAATTTTGTGTAGAGTGAGTCCTGTTTTCCTAGTGAGTTCCCATTATAAAACCAAAGACATACTCTGCTGGAAAAGTTTTGCGCTCAGATAAAAAGAGAGTCCTACTTTGGGTTGTCCGAAGCCTTTGAAGGCTCAGCGACATCTGTCTTGCGTCAGACAGTAGCCGGAGCACGCTTCCAGCCCTGCCGGCCCGGGCCATTTGGGGTTGCTGCTCTGGAGTTGTGTGTGATTGGTGGGGAGAGGCCCGTTGTGTCGCTCGGAGCAGCGGCGCTAGAAGTCAGAGTGGGCTTGCTGCCAGTGCCCACCCTGTCCCTGCTCCTGGATGGGCACCTCCAGCACAGAAGCCAGCGCAGAACTGAGGGTCCTAGGTCAGAGACCACAGCTCTTAATCTCCAGATCGTAGTAGTAAGAAGAACAGCAGAGAATCCAGGGTCAGAGGCGGGAGGGCCTTTGGAGGTCATTGCGGGTCCACCCCCCTCCTCATTTTCCAGATGAGGAAACCAGTGCAGAGAGGAGGGGTTACTTGGTGACCCCCGTTCTCCCTTCCTACCGTCATGCCGCCTCTGTAACTCTCACACGTTTGTTTTGTGGATGTCTTTTCCTATCTACGTGCTGTTTCTAACCCCCTTCCCAGACGCAGCACTTCTTGTGACAAAAACCTGCCGTGCGGAAACCGCGCCTTGCCTCGTGTATAGTATTCTGTCCTGGTAGTCCCCCACCTCTCCTGTGAAGATGAGAGTAGAATCGTAGCCTCTTTCCAGGCCCGTGTTCTCCGTTCCGCTTCTTTCTCTGCGTTAGTGCTTGTTGATCATGCACTTGGCATCATTTCTTCAGAACAGGAAACACCATGTTTTAGGAATGCTCCTGTGCCGTAAGAAACAGTGAATATGGAGTCAGAGACTCGTGGGGAGACGCGGGTGAATTGATGCGGAGGGAAGAGCGGTGTGGAGAAGGTCTGCAGCAAGGTCACCCACCCCTGAAGACGTGGCGGGCCCGGGGAGCATGGCCTGCTTGGTCAGGCTCAGGTGACAGATAGCTGCGCTAGTTTTGTGTGTTTGTTTTTTCTTTTTAAAATTCTTCCTAACGAGGGATGCGTCTGAAAACGAAGATGATGAGAAAACAAAGGCTCTCAATAAAAGGATCCAGCATTTGGGTTGCACCGAGCATTGGTACTGGGCCTTTGCTTCTGGCCCTGCCGTCCGTGGAGTCCAGGCCCAGCAGTGAGAGTCCTGGGTCAGGCCGGTTTAGTTGGACACTTGGGAGCTCCTCCGACCACATGAATGTGCCTGTCTTTTCACTGTTTCCATCTTGTGTCATCTTCACCAGTTTGTGTGGAATGAGGCAATGTGCTTGAGCTTGCTTCCTTGAATACTTCTCTCATGGAGCCTCTGGCGTACTGGGTGGGGCCAGTCCGAAGCCAGGAAGTCCTGCGCCTTATCTTTGAGATAACAGTTAACTTCTCACGGGCCAGCCCATCTCTGCAGAAGGAGTTTCCTCACCTGAGAGTTCTCTCTGCCGGTGAAATCATAGGGGCAGCTCCAAACCCTTATTAATGAGTGAGAGAGTGGTTCCTTATGGCCGTTAATAGTTGGAACATTTTATCTGAAAATTTCCAGTTCTTTGAACACTTCTCTTTTGGAAAATTTTTAGTAGGTCACTTCTGTGTATTTTGGATATCTGACTCTTGCCAGTGCTGTTAAATGCAAATATTTTCCCCACTGTATGTCTGATTTTCTAATATCATGTAGCTCTTATTTGTGTAGATGCTTTTTTTTCAAAATTGCATATAGTCAGAAGAGTTGATTTTCTCATAATCACATTTCTGTTCATGGTTCTAAAGTTGTATCTTGACCCCATTCCCTTCCAAATTGTTTATGATGTGACATGTGACGTTTTATATTCTGGTCGATCATTACTTTTATCGGATTTCAAATCTACACGGCAGACTCATCAGAAATATTTGATAGCGGCTAAAAAATAAATCAGTGAAACATACGTAAGTGTAAAGTTGTTTTTGTTTTTAAAGGCCCCGGGGCCGCCCAGATCGCCCCCTCTGCTGCCACACCGTTCAGGGGCCCCCGCGTGGGGCGTGGGACGGCAGGCGCCACCCCTGCCTCGTCCACACCCAGCTGCCTCCCCGCTGGACAAAGTGCCTCGCACACTGCAGGAGCTCGGCAGGACAACGTGCGCAAACAACTCTCAACCAATCACTGGTCCCCGCCCTCAGGGTGGGCCCCAAGCTCGCTAACCAATCCCGAAGGGAGCGTGTTGACCAATAGGAGACGCCCCACGCCTTCCGCGCATTCTCCTTCAGCGACTTAGTGGCCCCTGTGTGCGATCGGAGATCAGCCAATGGGGTAAGGCTTGCGGCCTCGGTCACGCTCTCGTCAGGGAGATTTTCCATCACCCACATTAATGAAGACTCCGTCCCACCCTCCAATCAATTCTCACGTCCTCAGAAGTTCAGCCAATGGGAGTTCGACTCGCTCCCACCGCCTCAGCACGCTGCTGAAGCCCAGCCAATCGGAGCCAGCCTCCGTGCGCTCTAGGCGGCCCAGCCAATGGGAGCTCGGCTCGCGACCCGGGGCAGTGACCATGGTAACGTAGCGGCCCCCTGCCAAGTGGGCAGCAGCGGCCGAGAAGCCGATCAGGGTTTGTCCGGGAGCTGAGGACGTGGGCGAAGCGGCCCGGGGCGGTCGCGGTCGCGGTCGCGGCAGTGCGGAGCGGGGCGGTCCGCTGGGCCAGGGGCGAGCCCCGCGGGCGGCCCGCGTGTGAGGGCCCGGGGCTGGCAGACAGGCCCGGCTCGGCGGCTGGCCCGAGCCGGCTGCGGGTCCTGTCGATGGCGCCGCCGCAGCCGCCCAGCCCCGGGCCGCCCCTGGGGCTCTTGGACATCGGCCCCGCGCCCGTGGTGATGGCGCCGCCCGCGGCCCTGCCCGGCCTGGCCAGGACGCCCGAGCTGCAGAAGCGCGTGCTGGACCTGGAGAAGAGCCTGCAGTTCGTGCAGCAGCAGCACGCGGACACCCTGCTGGGCCTGCACGCCGAGGTGGATCGGCTGCGCCGGGACAACCGCGGTGAGTGCATAGGGTCGGTGCTGGGCCGGGCGCGGGGACGGCCGCCCGAGGGGCTGGGGTGGGGTGGGGTGACTGACTGGAGGAAAGCTGTAGAGTGACGCCCGAGGAAATGGTGATTAATCCGCAGAAACCTGCCTGGGGCAAAAAAAACAAATTTGGGAACGGAAGTCAGTGACCGCCAGTGGGGAAGGAAGAAACAAATCTGGGCATTTGCTTTGATAGGCAGGAGAGCCCCCAAACCACGCATACACGGCCTTCCCCATCCCAGAGCCGTTTCATCCTTTTACACTCCATGTGGCTTATATAGACATTTCCTTCCTCCCCCTCCCCCCAACATTGTCTCCACCATTAGACTATAAGCTTCTTGAGGGCAGGCGCCCTGTTTTTGCCTTTCTCTGAATCCCGAGTGCTAAGTACAGAGCCTGCCACATAGCCATTAGATGCTTGTTGATTAGGGCAGCTGAGGGATCCCATCTACTGGGGACCTCCCCACCCACCTCTCCTCTCCGGGTCTGGGACCTCCTCCCCTTACCATGACGGTGTTGGAGCCTGGAGACCTCCTGTCACTTCCCAAACCTGCCCATGGCCCGGCCCACCTTTCCCCACCCTGGCCCAGTTTGCCCAGCCTCCCAGTGCTGTGAGGCCCAGCCGGAGTCCCTCCGGAAATGTTTCACACCTGGGCTGGTGCTCCGTTGACAAATATAGTCCATTAAGTACCAGCCATAAGGCCTTTCCATCTCAGGGCCAGTGCTCGGCTTTGGAGAACCTAGGACCCCACCCCAGACCTCCCCCAGACAATTACAGCTGGCACTTACCTGGCCTTTCACAATGTACCAAGCACAGTGCTCACAACGACCCTGTTTTACAGAGGAGGAAACTGAGGTAGAGGGAGACTAGAATGGAGGAACACAGCTAGGTTCTATCCTGTGCCAGCTGGACCAGGGCCTGTCTCATATGAAACCAAAGTTCACATCTTGATTGTACACCCCCAAAATAGCTTCTCTTACTTAACCTGTTCTGTTGCTGAGCCCTTTGAAGTATGCTCTGACCAAAGGCGGTTGGGGGGAGTCTGAGCCTGGGAGATGAGGGGCTGGTCCCACATTTGAAGCCCCTTTGGGGGGAGACCGACATGGCAGCCAGAAGATGCCCCTGTCTTTGCTTGATTTCAGATCTTCACTATAAACTCATAATGAATCAGAAGCTGCAGCGGAAAGGTACCGCCCCCACTCTGATCTGAAGGGAGCTTAGTGGGCTGGATCTAGAGCGGGGGGCTTGGAGAGCACCCCCTTTGTCACCAGCCCAGCCAGGCCCGGAAGGATGAGTTTCAGTGCCCTCCTCCTCCTGATCAAGGGTTACAGGTGAAGCTGAGGAAGGACAGTGTAGCCCAGGGTCCCAGCTGGGTTCCAGGCATCCCAGGGAACCAGAAGAAAACTTGGGGCTTCTGACCTGTCCTGTGAGTTAGGGAGTGCACGGATTGGTACCAGTGTCTCGGAGGGGAGTGACTTGGGGGTGAGGGAGAGGAGAAGCATTTATGAAGGGCCTGTGGTGTGCCAGGCACAAAGATGATCTCATTTGGTCCTCACAACAACCCAGGGAGGGAGGTAATGTTATTTTCCCCATTTGACAGTTGGGGAAACCGAGGCAATCAGCGGTGAAGTGACTTACCCACAGTCACACATCTGCTGAGTGTCTGAGCTCAGATTGCATTCATGGCTTCCTGACTCCTGGCACCCTACTGTACTACCAGCTGCCTCTACTCACCCCTAAGACGTGGCAAAGGCAGGATTCAAACCCGGGTCTTAGGATTCCAAGGGTTGTTTCCACAACATATAACGCACAGAAACAAGAATGATGGGTGCTGTTTATGAGCGGTGGGGGAGCTGCTGGGAGGCAGGAGAGGTAGAGCACATCCTGGGTCTGGGGACCCACGACATCCATCCCCCCTCCTGCTGCATGTTCACCCAGCACCCGGTCGTCCATCCCTGGAATGTCCTGCAAAGTCCTCCTTAAGATGAGCTCAGGAGTCGCTTCTGGGGTGAAGCCCTCTTTGCTCTCCTCTCCTCCCGAGCTCCTCCCCCTTCTGCCTCCCCTTCTGTGCTTCTTTCTGCATCCTCCTTCCTGCCTCTCTCTTCTCCCTTCTCCTCCCCTCCTCTCCCTTCTGTCTCCCCTCTTCCTGTTTCTCTCTCTCTCCCTCTCTCCCCGTCCCTTTCTTCTTCTTTTCATCTCTCCTCTCTCTACTCTTGTCCCTTCTCCCTCCTCCTCTCCCTTTCTCTCCGTACTCACCTGTTTTTCTCATTGTTGTAACTCTCTGGCCCCCAGCATCGAATTCCCTGCTTGTTGAAGGCAAGGAATGTTTTGTTTTCCTCTTTATCATCGCCAGCACTCAGCATGGGGTCTTTGCATACCATAGGTGCTCAATGTTTGTTGAAGACAAGTAGGAATTTCTCCTGAGAGAAGTAGCAGAGAAGCACTTTGAAGTTAGCTAGGAAATTAAGCTTCATCCCCATGAAAGCTGCGCCAAAGCTGACTGGGGCGTGCTGGGCGTCCTGGGCTCCCCCGCCTGGAGATCGCGTAGCCACGGCTGAAATGTCCTTTGTCCCTGACGTTCTAGAGGGGCTGGCCGCTCAGGCCCTGACATTCTAGAGGGGACTTCTGCTCAGGTAGGTCCTGAGGTTCTAGAGAAGATGCCCGCTCAGGTCCTGACAGTCTAGAGGGGATGCCTCCCCAGG